GAGTGGTTGCTACCTCACCTGATGAGTCTTCCCTCAAAGGCCGAAACAGCCCTGGAACAGGCCCTGTCCCCTCCCCCTGCCTTTTACTGATAGAAACCAAGGCCTGAAGGCTGAGAATACCATTATGGTGGCCTAGCAATAACCACTGAGGGTATTCATTTCTTAAAGCTACAGGCACTCCTTTTAACCCCCCCATTTTTTTCTTTTTTTATGTTTAATTTTCCCCCTCTAAACCTGGGGCCTTTTTAGGTCTGCAGAAAGATCTGTCTTGTCTGTCCATGTCCCCAGTCTGTGGATTTTAGTATTCACAGATGGGCCCACTTTGATCATTAGATATATTGATTGGACGGTGCCTGTGACATCACTGCAAGGCCTGCCACAAATTCCTCTCTTACCCATACTAGCATTTTGAATGTCTCACTAAATTTTACCCTGATTATATTTTTTTCTTCAAAAGCTGTGAATTCATCCTCTCCAACAGCCAAGTATGTGCATCCTAGAATTATTTTTTTTAAAAAAAAATAAGAATTCTACTCTTCCCCTTTCTGCAGAGACTCTACCAGCACAGAGTCCCATTATCACAAGACTGGGGATATCACTCAATATGGATGCACAGTAGGATACAAAAGCAGCACAGGAAAAGCCCTTCACTGGAAAAGATCATTATGCTAGATACAGTAAGAAGGTTTCCACTATAAGGTTCACTTCACACATGCAACAGAGATGGTTCATATATTCATAAGAATCACTGGGTAATGAGAAATCAAGTCATGATTATTAATCAGGGAACTGACCAACAGGAAATGGTGCAATCCTAAACATTGTTACACCCTTCTAAGCTTCGCTGATCTCAGTGGGATTAGAAGGGTGTAAGACTGCTTAGGGTGGCACTGTAAATATGGAGTACATTCAAACTTGAGTAGTGTATGGGCATTTTATATAGATATGCTCCTGATTTTGTTTGGCCTGGGAGCACTAAGTTCCCCTTTCCATACTCAAGTACTATTTGCAGAAAGGAAAACATTGTAAAAGTTGCCATCCCGTCCTTTTCACCGGTGCCCAATATGTATGTATGCAACTGTGAACAAATACTCCATTAGTATGATGACTGAAGAATGCTTTGGCACAATTGGAATGCTTTAGAATTTCTTTCCAGAGCGCATGTCTGTCAATTTAACTGTCCATGTTTTATCCTGCTAAAATATAGAACTACAGAGCACTGCACTAGTCCTTAAGAACAAAAGCAGCACCTAATGACATACAGAATCAGGTTTCTTCTATCAAGAAAAACTACAAATAGCGACACCTAGTGACAGAACACGGCATTAGTCTCCCTCAACAGCAAAGAGAAGCCCTCTGACAGATGCTCCTTTATGCATCATGTAGCTATTTAAACAGCCAGGACAAACCATTTTACACCCAAGGGAAGACATTAACATAGATCAGCATTTAGAAAAGGGGGAGGGGAGAAAAACAGCAAAACCTTGACATGTTAAAAACACACACAGAGAGAAATTATCCCATACTGTGGTATGAGCTATCTATATATCTAATAGCGAAGTTGCCCCCGGAGTGCGGATCGCTAAATCAGCGCTCCGGGGGCAGCTGGGGGGCCGGAGGAGGTTTGTGCACTCTTGGGGCAGTCCCCACGTGTGCACAAAAATAAAAAAAGTTGAAAAAAATCTTGGGGGGATGTTTAAATCCCCCCGAAAGTGCAAGAGCGTCTCCTGCGCGTGCGCAGGAGACGCTCTGTAACTGCCGCTGCCGCTTGGGAGGGAAGCGGCGAGCGGCGAGCAGGAAGGGGGGGCAGAGCGGCAAGGAGCCGGGGGGAGAGGCAATGGGGGGGAGATCAAGGGGAAGTGGAGGACACGGGGGGCACAGGCAGGATC